GCCCAAGAACGCTGCCCTGCCGGGGACCAGCGCGTCGGGGTGGGCTCCCCGCCGCCCCAGTTCCCAGCTGGTGCGATATCCCGGAGACCAGCTTTCCAAGGAAACTGAGACGCAGTCGGGCCGGGGGACTTGCCAGAGCTCGCTATGGTAAAACCAGTATTTTATGTACAAGGCTGGCTCCAGAAGTCATTATGCGCCTTAATTCTCTCAGAAGGGTGCGCCATTTTATTTGGCATTTAGAAGTTTTCAAAGTTTTATTTTAAGAAAGGACTACATCGTTTAAAATTTCAGAGTTTACAAATGGATATAACAATGAAAAGAGGATTTTCCTTCACCCTGTGTCTCAGTGCCCCAACCCAGCCTCTAGAGGGCATTCGTTATCAGTTTCTTGGTGTATCCAGGAATTTTGTATGCCTATAAAGGCACGTTTGATTGATTATATAGGTGCGCGCGCGTGCACACACACACACACACACACACACACATTCTCTCTCTCTCTCTCTCTCTCTCTCTCTCTCATTCCCTTTACATCACTCTGCGCTTGTTTTTTCCACCTATGGTATTTCCCATAGTTTCCCCACCTCTTATCATCTCTGAAATCTAGCTTCTTGTGCAATCAATGGAGCATTATTTAATTTGCTTCCTCCCCTTAATGCTACGTAAAGTCGTGGTGTATCTCATGGTCAAGATGACTTGGGTTGTAATGAGATATGGTAATATATTTTAGATTGACCTCGGACTCTTAAACTTTCCACAGCTTTTAATTTCAGAAAACTGTAGTTATTGAATCAGTTGTTTTTGGTCCTTTTGTTATTATAAGTAACGCTTTGTTGGTTGTCCTGGCATATAAGCGTCAGCATATCTGTGACCTAGTGGAGAGTTCGTGTTGGAAAGACATAGTGGAACAGCTTCTTGCAGTCATTTATTTATTTATGTGGTCCCCATGCTTGCTCAGAGCCAGGCTCTGTGCACCCAGTCCTGATAGGGGACCCAGACAAGAAACCCAAGGGAGTCCTGGTTGCTGGAGTTTGATGTGTGGCCAAGTGAAGACAATCGACAGAGGGAGGGATTTTCAGACCAGGCTTTATGGATGGCTTTTCTTGCCTTCGCCCCCTAGCTCTCATTTGTCTTATGTTATTTTCTTTCTTTTTCTGAACTCCTCTGATGGCGAAAATCTCTTGGAGTCTGGGAAGACCAGCTACAGCATTCTTGGGTGGCGTCCATTTTGCTTTACAAGCCTAGGTCCTTCCCAGTTTGCAGTCTTTCAGGAGCTGTCCTTATCTGCAAAAGGAGCCCCAGCAGAAGCCACTTTATGTGGTGGTCAGAGCAGGGCCAGCGGCTTGGCCTGCTCCAGCTCTTCTTTTACAAACAGACACATAGGACAGGTATGGTCAAGCTTCCTGGGGTGAAGGTAGGTGATGATGAAAACTAAACATAATGATGTTGGTATAGCACCCAACAGGCCTGTTAGTATTTATTAACAATTGATTTCAACCAGGAGGCTGCTGTCTTTCCTGGAATGGCCTTTTAAAGTGCTCACACCCCTTGATCCTCTGTGCCCTTCTCTCCTAAGGAAATATCACTATGTGTGGAGATTTTATTCTGGAGTTGGTCACTACAGCAAAAAAATTGGAAACAATCTAAAGGCTCACTGATAGGCAATGATTAAAGAAATGATGGTACATCCAACAATAGAGTGTTACGTGTTATGTGGGCGTCGAAAATGAGGAAAGAGATGTAGATTAACTGAAACAAAAAGATGTTTGTAATATATTGTTTAGTGAAATAGCAATTATAAATTGCATATCATGTGTGATGGCATATTTGTAAATATGTGGTTATGTATATGAAGAAATTCAACACTGTATAATGATATGAAGGGGAAATTTATAATGTTAAATGAACAAAGCAGGACTTGAAAACAAAAGAGATAAACCCCATGCTGATTTTTCAAGGCCATCCTTCCTAGTAAGTTCAAACTTTCAAATAGTCATGGCCGTCCAAAGAGAGAATGGACGGCTCCAGAGGTAGTGAGCTCCCTGTCAGTGGGGGAGTTCGAAGATGAGTCTGGGCAAGGATCATGGGTGGGATCAAGGCATCAGGGATGGAGTGAGAGGATCTTTAAGTCCTTCTAACTGAGCCACATTCCCACGGTAGAGTTCCTGACCCTGAGACCTGGGCTGGACAAAATATGGTCATGATTAGAAACTAAATATATACAGGAATGATTCGCCTGCTTCTTATGCAAACATTGAGGAAGCAGTAACTGAACAGTGTCATTACTATGAAATTCATGTGCTTTATGCAGGTTGGGATACACACTTGCAAAGGCACATTTCCACATGATCTACATGCCTTTTAAGTAATAGGGAGAGCATCATGTAAGCATGCCTCTTCAAGAGTTAAAGCAAAAAGACTTTTTTCAACCCTGAGCCTGTGGTTTCTGGGCAGAGAAAACATTCCAAAGCTTGGAAGGTAATTGGCATTCATTTCCTTTTTAAAACTGCCTGAAAACCCATAGCCCAGTGAACTCTGGTTTCCAGAATGCCAGCTAACACTATGGGAAAAAGTGGGGATGAATTCACTCAGCAGGGGAGGAACTGGGGGCCTGACTATTATTGTCTGGCAAGAGTCAAGGAGGCTTTCTGGAAAAGGCGCTTCCTCAACAGACTTGAGGAGACAGTAGGTGTTGTCTGGAAGGAGGGTGGAGAGAGGGAACAGTGTGCCTGAAGCCGTGAGACCAGCAAGAGCTCGGCACAGTTAGGAGCAAGGAGAAAGCTCAGCCCAGCAGCAGTGATGTGTTAGGGTATGGAGGCTCAGGAGGTGAGGCTGGGGACATCAGTCAGGGCCAGATCACCGGCCTTGCCTGGCCAGCTGAGATGCTTGGAAATGATGGAATCCAGGCTTGACACTGGTAGCTGAGGCCCGCATTGCTGTCTGACAGGCAGATACTTTAAATGTGGAGGGAGAGAGGATAGCATATACCCACCAGGGAGCCAGAGAATGAGTCCCCAGAAGGTCCTTCCTGGTTCTCCATTCTTCCCTTCAGCATCTTTTCCCAGGGCTTCCACCAAAATGCAAGGTATGTGTTGTGGCCACTGGTGCAAATTGCCACCTTGTGGACAATGCAGGGATTACAGGTCTAGAAATGACCTTCCTCATTCATTAGTTCAATAAATATTTTCTAATAATTCAAATGAGCCAAAGTGCTGGGATAAGGCGCTCTTGGTCAGGAGGAGAGAAGAGGAATGCATACAGATGATCATAGAATGATCAGAGGTGTGAGTCAGCCTGAACCAATGGGGTTGGTGAGGGAAGTTAGGCAAGTCTTCACATAGGTGACATTTGAGCTGAGTCAGGGAGAAGGGGTCTTTAGCGACCACCTCTGACATCTTCACCTTACAGAGGGGCTTACTGCAGCACAGGATAGGAAGGGACTTACTCAAAGCCACGCAGCTCTTCAGGACAGAGTTGGGGTGGGTTTCTGGTTGTACCAGCCAAGGTATAGCGTAGGCTTCCGTTTGGTTGGCCTTCAGTTTATGCTCTAGAAATGTCCTTTGTGGGTCCAATCTGCTGCTCCTGTCTGTCCCTGTGCGGCCCAATCCCAGGAATCTGTCCAGCCTTCTGGTGCAGTAATCTCTTTCCTCATTCTTTAGTCCACCTGTGATAAATTGAAAAGCACCAAAACCCTCCCCAGGTGGACACTGTGCTTAAGCCAGGATCTTGGCCAACCTGAGAAGAAAGCATAAGATGTGTCCCTAGAGGGTCTATCCTCAGGGACTATCATACTTCTTGGCACACAAGTGCTTTGTAAATTATTTGTGACATGAGTGAATGAGTGAGGGCAGGGGAGATGGATGGCACCTGAGAGGATGGTCAAGCTCTGCTGTGGACTTATCCAGAATTGAGTCTAGTCTGGGAAGATAAATTGGGGACAGATCACAAAGGTCATTGAATGCCCAGCTAAGGAGTTTGTCTTTATTCTGCCAGCAGGGTGAGTCAGCCTGGTTTGTGACAAAGGGACAGGATCTGAATATAGGTTATTTTCTTCAGGGAGAAGAATGTTCTTAGTCATGGGTCAAACCCACCTAGAAAACCTCCAATATTACTTAATGGAGAAGTTGTAATAGGTCTTCCAGATATCTGGTTCTTTTGTTTCTGAGTTTAATAATTAAGCCATATGTCTGTATAATAAATAGAGGCTGTCCTGTGATAAGCTCTCGGCACTGAGGAGACAGGCACGGCCTTTGTGATGAACTGCTGAATTTCCTTCTGTCATGTCACCAGAACTCTGAACCCTGCTCAGAACAAGGCTCAAACACAGTAACCCTTCCTAACCTGCCAGCTGACTGCAGCACCATTACATGGCTCCTGGAAAGACCCCTCTAGTAGAGTGTCATAAGGTTCTGTTCTAGTCAATGTTTTATTAATAACCTGGATAAATTCAGCAAAAGTATTCAAATGCCCCAAAGCTTCAAAGAGGAATGAATGTACATTGGATAGGAGAAGCAATATTCAAGAATGTTTGCATAGGTTAGAATGGTAGAGGGAAATCAAATGTTGAAATATTCTCCAGATACATGTTAAGTTCTATATTTGGATTCAACACTAAAATGAGAAAGTATGAGTAAGGGCAAAGGAAACACA